TTTGAGATCACAATACAATACTTTGTGTCTTTTTGGTGAGTTTCATGCCGTAAGTGCTGATTGAGACACACTGATAGGTCAGCACATGTGTCAGGAGGTGACAGAATTGCTTGACAACGATTGAAATTTGTGATTTATGGATTGCATTCGATGGGCAAGGTCGTTGGTGACTACTGCAATGCAATGAGGTGCATGCAGTGTAACGTTTTGTTAGCAAGATCGGACTTGATAGGGTCTGACAAGTCCAAAAATGGCAGCTTGGCCATTGTTTGGATTGTGGTTTTTCACAACTCAGCTGTGAAAACCGTCAGTATGGCATGGTTTCTACGCTCAACGGCCATTTTTGCAATTACATTTGCCAGTGACTTCATTTTACAAAAGAGCTCCTACAAAATCAAAGTGTTACAAATGTCCCGCATATGCCACAGCTTTTGTGTTGTAGACTTCAGTCCTCAGAAAGCTCACAAACAAACAGAACATTCAAACAAGAAATCGCACCAGAATCGCATCACAACATTTACAGTTGTGGTCAGCATCTCTGCAGCCACCTTCTCACAGCTGTCACCGGTGGTTGCATTTCAAGTAGCTGTTTAAACCCCCTAGCAAGCACACACAACTTTCACCACAGGACCTTTAACAAATTAGTAACCCTTACCCAGAGACTTCACGAAACTGTACAACACAAATCGGTGTCCATATTTTTTCCATTGTTAAGGCATTATCAGCCAACATCAGTACGGATGCCACAAACATTCTCACAGATCATTAACAACCATCCCCGGATCCCCCATAACCGTCCCACACAACTCGGTTCGCACTGACAATTACATGGTTTGCCACAGCTTTTTGCTCACTACCTGGACCTTCACCCCTCGCTTTGCTTCCCCATGGCTGCGCTCGCCATTGCCGTGTGCTCTCTGCCGCAGTTCCGATATCTACGGCTCCCTCCCGGAGCTCCGATCGCCATTTGATCTCCCGCGTAGCTCCGATTCCCCCTTGCTCTCACCACAACTCCAGCCGCCGCTTGCTCTCCCCGCAGCCCCCATCACAGCTTGGTCTCCCCCGCAGCTCCGGTCGCTACGACTCCCCTGCACAACTCCGATTTCTGCGTGCTCTCTCCAGCAGCTCGGATCGCTGCTTGGTCTCCATGGCAGCCCCAATCACCGTGACTCCCCTTCACACCCCGATCGCCGTGGCGCCCTCCCAGGGGTCGCCCCTAGTAGGACCGTGGTCTGGTCTGGCGCCAGACCGTTCCCGGTCTGGTCCCGGTCTACCAACGCGTCTAATGTACCAGGGGTGGGTGGGTGTGCGGGGGTTGTTCCAGAGGAACCCCTTGTGTCATTTTCCCTATACATATTGAACTGATATCTTGAAGTATCAATCTTTACATCTATATTCATATTTATAAATAGAGTTGTACATAAAGATAGTTGTATGCATATGCTTGCATGTAAAGTAACAATTACCAATGAATTAATTAACTACATAATAATGAATTAATTTACTACTTCCTCCGTCCCATATTAATTGTCGTCTATTTGAGAGAGAAATCTCGTCATGAAAATTGCATCCAAATTACAAATAGAGGTCAGAATCGGAAAGATTGGGTCTCAAAACCCTTAAGTTCGAATTTTCAAGAGAAAATATTTAGTTCTCAGGCCTATGATCTGGCCCCCGAAATTGCCTTGACACAGTCCAAAAAATGCGCGTTCAATTTCCGCGGTCTTGCAGGCCCCCCTGGTTTGGGGGCGCTCCCGTGCCTAGGGGTTGCAACGCCAATGGTTGCCACCTTTGGGGCAAAGGATAGGGTCCGGCACATGGCATAGCACTTGCCAAACACATTCAAACATGATTTTATCCTTGTCTCAAGCAGCCATCGTCACAGTGTTAACGATACCAGAAATCGACGGTTTTCTCGATCTCCGATGGGCGGACCTCCAACGAGCGGAAAGGCCAATGTAAACAACCTTGAAGCCTAGGATCAGTGCGTTCTATCGCTCTAAGGCTGTTTGGTAGCCTTGCTTGGATATTTCGCCTTAGTTGATGCTTGAATCGGGACTTGCATGGGCCCCTAAGCTGGAAGCCCCAAAATTACCATTGTTTGTGGATACAATGCCAAATGCTTGTGCGCGGTACACAATCCATTGCAACCTAGCAGGACTCCATCACTCTAGAAGACCCAAATTCACCTTTTTGGCCATCCCCCTTGCACCCAATCCTCTAAAGTTCCGAAACAAGGACATGTCGCCATTCCCGTGGCAATTGCCAGTTCACTAATTGTTCGTGCCATATCAAGGTGATAGCCATTACCATCTCCGGCTCCTAGTTAAAAGGATTGGGAGACCTCCCTCAGTTGCTTTGACAGTGGCAAAAGAGCTCGAAAAGCCTTGACCAAAAAAATTTGCGTCCGAAACGTCACTCCGATCCCCCAGATCAAGCCTAAATTAATGGTGCGAGCCACGGCGAGTTCGACGATCAATGCATTCGAAACACGTTTTCTATCACCATACCTCTTTGCAAGCACCCTAATGACCTACACTCTGAACAGCATGAATAGTTTTGCAAGGACGAGTTTGTTTCGCTACCGTGAAGGAGTGCTCCTCAAAACAGCCCAAAACAGCTGTTTTCGGCGCAACGTCCAGAAACGACCCTTTTCTGGCCAGAGGACCCATGCTACAAAGTACTGCCAAATCCTCAAAACTTAATGGATCGACTTGAAATTTTCATGGTACACTCCAACCTCCCAAAAACAACTTTAGGGAAATTTTCATTACAAAATAATGCAGGCACGATAGAGAAACAACGTTTCAAAGTCATAGACGACAATTAATATGGGACGGAGGAAGTATGTATGTAATATTTATACGTTCAGCGGGGTGTTTGAACGGTTTTCTCTGCGCCTTTGTCCACCAGTGGGTAGTGGACGCCATAAAAGGCAGATTCACGAGGGTCCGCCGCCTGCGGCTGCTCTGCTGGCGCGGCGCCGCCGACGGCGAGCTTGCCCTGCTGCAGCAGCTGCCCCACCTCACCAGCCTGGACGTCGGCTTCAGGACGCCCTCCGCCGACGGCCTGAGCCGCCTGGGCACCATGACCAACCTGACGGATATCACCCTGGACGGCCTGCCTGCCGCGAGGGAGGGCGTCGGGTTCGTGCCCTGGTGCGCCTTGCCCCTGCTGCGACGCCTGCACCTCAACGAATGCACCATCACCGACGAGGCCATGGGGGACATTGGCCAGATGACGGGTTTGAAGGAACTGACATTTTGGGACTGCGATGGGGTGGGGTCGGCCCAGCCCCTGCCCCTTGGCATGCTGACGGGCCTCAGGGCCCTGGACCTGCGGGGCTGCATGGACGTGGTGGACGACGACCTCGTGGACGTGGCGGAGGCAAGCGGCCTCGAGACGCTCATCCTGTCGGGGTGCATCAGCATCGAGGGCGGGTGCCTGGAGCACCTGACGGGCCTGACGGGCCTGCGGCGCCTTGAGATGGAGGAGGGGTACGCGGCCAGCCTGGGGCACCTGTCGAGCCTGTCGACTCTGACGTTTCTATACCTGGGGAGCCGGAGGGCCGGCAACACGCAGCTGGGGTGCCTGTCGCCGTTGACGGCGCTCAAAGTGCTGTCCCTGGACCTGGACGTCTCCGACGAGGGCCTGGCGGCCGTGGCGAACCTGAGGTGCCTCACGCGCCTGCACGTCTCCAAATTCGACATGGTCTCGTGGTTGGCGTCCGACTTCCGGGACATGGTCACGGACGACGGGCTTGCGCACCTGACCGGGCTGACGGCGCTCCGGTGCCTGGACGTGTTCGCGAGCGGGCGGGTCACGGACGGCGGGCTGGCGTCGCTGTCCGCCATCTCGGGCCTGTCGCGCCTGGTGCTGGGCCACTGCGCGTGCATCACCGATCGAGGCCTGGCGTGCTTGAAGGACTTCAGGGGAATGGAAGTCTTGAGCGTGTGCCGCGCCGAGAGTGTCACGGATGAGGGCTTGGCTCATTTGGCGGAGCTGACTTCTCTCAGGCGCCTGGATTTGGAAGGGTGCGTGGGGATCACCGACAGGGGGGTGGCGGAGCTTGGGAGGCTGACGGGCCTGGAGTACCTGGGCGTCGGGAGGATCGGCAGCATCACCGAGGGAGCCCTGCGGGCACTTCGGCAGCGGGAGGCGTTCGCGAATTTGAGGATAGGGGGGCGGGTCCCCGCCCCAGGAGCGCGGAAGCAAGGGGGGGCGGCGCCCGGCATGGGGTTCGTCCGTTGCTTGGCGCGGGATTTGTTCGTGGGAGTCTACTGTGGGATCTGTGCCGCGGCCGCATTCTCGATAGCCCGGGTTTGGTACCAGCGCAGGCGCTGAGCGTGCTCCGTTCTGTTTTCGTGGTGACGGACGCCCCGTGCCTGTTGCCTGGAGAATGGGGGGACGCCCCAAGCCGTGAAAGCAACGCTGGCGCGGGAAAGTGAGCGTCGTAATGCCACGAGTTGTGACGGCTGCCAGGCATGAACGAGTTCGATGGAACCCATCAATCTAGGCACGGATGGTCTCCGTGCAGGCAAACTGGTGCGCCAGAGGCGCGAACCCAAATGGACCGGATCCTTGCAAGGTGCGCGACCGGCGAGAACAGCAGATTGTGCAGCTCCTCTGAGATTCTAAAGCGAAACTAATGCGATCCTAAGCCGATACTAAAGCGATTCTACTGCGATCCTAAACCGATACCAAAGCGATTCTTGAGCCATTTAAACGCTCAGGCAAAGGGCTTCGTCGGCGCGGCGACTGCGGGCCTCTCAATTTCGCACATCCGCAGGCTGGCGAGTTCTTCTGCGTCCGGTCCAGGCGAGGGGGCAATCCCTCAAATGAATAAATTAAATGAAATGTGGATCGATTCACAGCAAGTGGACGTGCGGTGGCGGTGCTGGCGGTGGGGCCAAGCGCTGGCATTGCGTCATGGGCCTCCCAGTCGGTTTATTGTGCCTGCGTCCTTGCAGTCCAATGCTGCCACGACCCATTCAGAATGGTCATCGGTACAGCTGCTTCTCCTGCGGCAGCTGCACCTCCGACTGCAGGACCTCCACGAGGTCCCTGTCCGCCTGACGACATTAAAGGCACTCGTCAGTGACTTCCATCATCATCATCATCTTCATGGATTTTTACATAATGATTTTACATAATGATTCAAAAGTGCACGAAAGCTGAAAAGCTGAAATCGATGACATGACGATATTTGAGCAATATTTTCGTCAATGAGCTTATGAAGTCAATGATGCAATGATTTCAAAGCTGCACAGTCGATGACATGATGAAATTGACGACGCGACCATGCCTGAGCATTGCCGTCCTTGCCGTCAAACTCGGACAACGAACATCAACGCTGCGTTCAGCGAGCGATCTTGTGCCGCATTATCTCAACCACGCCTTTGGCGCCACACTTCACCAGGTATGGGCCATGCCCAGCGACTGTAACAGTGCAGGAGGGCCTCCAGGCGCAACCCGACCACCGAAACACGTCCGAACTATTTTCAAAGGGGACCCGAAGATGGATCAAAGAGAGGAAATCCAAAAGATGCATCAAAGAGAGGAATTCAATATGCAGTTGGGAGTCGGGGCGCCCCGCCCCCGGCCCCCACCTTCCTCTTCCTTATGCCGTTGCTCAGCTGCACCCGCAGGTTGAGCAGCTCCATGGCCCTCTTCGCCTCCCTCATGCCCGACATCAGTGCGCCTCCGACCGTGTCGGGGTGCTCCTTCACCGTGTGCTCCCCCGCGAACAGCAGCCCGTACCCGAAGCCCAGCACGGGCTCGGCCAGGCGGTCGTAGTCCTGGCCGCTGGCGCCCGGCGGCACAAAGGTGTAGCAGCCGCGGGCGAAGGGGTCGGAGCCCCAGCGGGTGACCCGGTGGCGCAGCGGGTCCGGCGCGGACGGGAAGTGCCGCCGCAGCTGCCGCATGGCGCGGGCCACCGCCTCGCTGTCGGGCAGCTTCTCCACCTGGGGAGGCGGGGAGCGGCCGTTCAGGCGGGGAGAATATATTACTCCCTCCGTTTTTTCCATGAAGATCCCAACTCTTCCGTTCACAAGGCCAATGTGGGTCAGCGGGTCAGTGGTTGGGGTCTAGGGTGACGAAGCAAGAAGGGATCTTTACGGAAACAGAGCGAGTAATTTCATGCCTCGGGCGGGCATGCATCCGGCGCGGTGTCCCTGTGGCAGTGATGCGAGAACCGCACATTCCGCGCAATTTCGTGCTGTGCGCTTTTGAGGACCAGTGAGAGCAATCAATGAGTAAAACGAATGCAAAAAATATCCATGTAATGAATGTAATGCTTTTTTGTGAGCACGCAATGCTGTGTTCCATTGCGTTCAATTGGTACCGAATCAGGAGATTCTGGCCATGTCTTTTGGTGCCATATTTCATCTGTGTGTCTCCCGCCCGCTCTGCCACGCTCTTCGAACTTTTGCCCATAGCGCGGTTTCCTGAAAACTCGGCGTGTGCGTTCTCGCAGTTTACAGAGTGCGTGCCACATACACTGAAAGTGTCACCGACATTAGAGACAGGCAAACGCCCTCAGCATATTGGCTGTGAAGATGTGAATAACTAAATCAACAAGTAAATAGTAAATGTTTCAGTTAATAAATAGATAAACAAATAAATAGCTATAGAGTTCATAGAGAGCAACTACGTCGATAGATAGTAAACAAACAAGCAAAGCATTGCATTGCCGAAAAATGGCGCATCAGCAACACAACGCGCCCCCGGTCGAGCGCCAATCGCGCATTCTCAGCAACAGCCCGGAAGCTCCTCCCGCCGGCGCGCCCACCCACCGCCACGGCCTCGTTCCCGGACACCAGCCCCGTGAGGATGGGCCGCCCGCACACGCGCTGCATGCCCCAGAACATCGAGCAGAAGCCGGCCGCCTGGCCGCCATCCTCGGGCACGATGCCGAAGTAGTCCTGGTCCGCGTTCCAGAATGGCGCCTCGAACTCCATGACGACCTTGTTCAGGTTGCCGAAGCCCAGGTTGGAGATGGCGCCGCGTTTCCATCGGGGCAGCGGGGGCTGGAACTGGATGGCGTCGGCCTTCAGGACGCCCAGGGGGACGGTGATGAGGGCGACGCCAGCCTGGAAGGTTTTTCCTGACGCGCACCGCCGCGCTCAGTTCAGTCGCCCCGTCCACGGCGAAGGGTGATTTGCGGCAATTCGATTCTTCCCTGATTGCGTTCGTCGAATGCGGCGCGAAGGACTGTGTTCTGTAAAGATCAAGGGGCCTCACGGGGCGCCAGCGGAGCGCCGTCGGTATGGTGCACACGGCTCCATTGTCAGGCGTATTAATGAGTCCATCATTGGCGACCCGAATAATTCTGCATTCTGCGCCCCATTCCTATGCGCAAAGCGGGTAGTTCAGTACTCTGCGCCCACGCGCTTCGCCTGCAGTCTATGGGCAAGACGTCGCGCTCCTGCCGGGTCACTGTTTTGAGTTGAGCGTTGATGGGGCATCGCTGGAGTGAGTCCCCTGTAACGGCGCCACAAAGGCGGCGACGATGCAGCTCATGAACTGCGGCGCAACGCAGCGTCAAGACCCCACTCATCCCGACATTCGTTGACGCTGCCTGATTGGAACAGGCGACAGACGGCATCCCTGTGTGTGACAATTCTTTGTTGGTTAATGCTGATGGATGAGGACGCTGTTAATCACCGAATCTGACAGATCGTGGAGCAATTGAAGGAATCGCTCATTCACAATTGTTTGCCAATGAGCCGTGCGCCATGCTGTCTTCAGCTGCAATGTGTAGAGTCCCCTGATTGTGTTTATCCAGTCCAAGAACTTAAGAAATATAGGATTTGCGTAATGCGCAGTACCCGAAGAGCTGTTTTCTATCCACATACTACCTGAATTTTCATGCAGATACTGTACAACCTGTGATGCAAGTTCATTTGCTCATCGCATGCATTACCACAACATTTGCCGAGCTAGTGCAAAGGTCAAACATTCGGTGCATCGGCATACATTTCTGCCGGATATGCGGCAGTGACATAATTGCAGATACAGACCCAAACCCTGCATGTACTGATGAAACCGCCCCCGAAAGAAAGGTCACCGAAAGAAAGGTCATGATGACATTATTTCATCGATTCCAACACAATTTTCGCATCTCGCACAGAACCGCTGCGTCAAAGAATATCGCCAAATTCGCTTAGTCTTGTTTTCCCATCAGAAAGTTGACGCGAGGCAACATTCAACCGTGCAGAAGGACAGTCCATACAGGGATCTGACGGCTACCTCCTGCCCACGACACGCAACATTTTCCGCATGAATCGACTGTCTTTCCGCCGGCGACCCCTCACCCGAACGCGTGGACACCTTGACCCCGTGCTCTCCGTATTCCACGCCGCACACCACCTCTCCGTGCGTGACAGTGACGTCCTGGTCCAGCACGATGCCATTCACGGCCTGCACCAGCCCCCCCTTGGCCATGGCGTGCCGGCCCCCGAAGCCCCCATAAGCCTCATCTTGGTTCCAGTGCACCAGGGAGAGGTCGTCCAGGTTTGCGCCGCAGCCGTACTCCAAATGGGCCCGGTGCCACGACACCAGCGAGCGGTGGTGGGGCGTTATTGCAGCCGCCGCGCCGCCCTCCGTCGCTGGCGACGAGTGGCATCAAAACAACGGTTGAAAACAGAACCAGTTCTGAAACACTTTTTTTTCCAGTTTTTCTTAGAAAACCATTAGTCTCATCAACAATACTTCTAATACCACTGAGTAGTAATACTTCAATAGTACTGCCAAGTGACAGCAATAGCTCTTTGCGAAGACAGTACCTTGTGCTCATCCATTTCTATTCTGTTTCAACGCGGTTCACAGGGTCGATGTACGATTTTCATCTATTGTGCATGACTCAAATAGAGTAAATGGATGATGCTTTTGCTGGTGGCCACGGCCGCCCATGACTGCGTGGCTACAGGGCGTATGCTTGCCTCCACCCATTACTGTTCGGCCTACAGATCGGACAGAGCGACATGCGCATGCAAAGCTTCTAGGCACCTAAACCTCGCCATCGCTTCATCTGTGTGCTTAACGTTGCGGATGCAGCAGATGGGCAGCAAACAATCGGCCATTGCGTTCACCTTCCCAGGGACAGCTCAGGAACTGTTCAGTGGCAGGGCGCCGCACACGCTGCCACCCGACGCCACAATCAGGCATGCCACGGAGAGACTGGCCATCTCGATTGCCAGGCACAAAATTTAGCGACGGTGTTGATGTCCTTGACGCGGTCGCGAACACAGCCAGCCATTTCCGGACATGAAGGTCATGAAGCTCATTTGCAACTACAGGGCTGTTTAGGCTTACCAGTTCACAACCCCTCTCTGATTTTCATACTCGTAAACGATAGGCATCAGACAAACCCCCTCCGGCCGGAATGGCACACGGGTGGCAAAAAATACGCACAGCACGGCTGAAATGATGTAATCCACGGTCTCATCGCCCGCTGAACGCAATGACATGGCCAATTTGATGAGCACAGAAATTCTACACTATGCAACAGAGTATTTCATACCCAACATCGCCTCTAAGGTGCCAGGGCAGTGTTTTATCGTGTTTAAGTGACAAATGTAATCAAAGGATTTGAGCAACAAAATAAGAAGTATACGACACAATAATTCAGCATCTTCGGGTGGTTGGCTTGCTGCAAATGCGGTGCTGTATGTCAAGACCAGGACACCCACTTTTGCTGCCCTCTTCAGGTTTTGCAGCAACGCACGCCGCTTCCTTCAGTGCCGCGCCGTGATCCCCACCAGACGACGAGGGTGGGCAAGGACTTCGGGCACCTGGACAGCCATTGGGTGCCTTCTCATCCGGTTGCAAATCGAAGCCGGCCCGACGATTGCCTGCATTCTCGGCATCCGGAACGCTGCATTGGCCCACTGATTGTCGCTCTTCCGATTCTGCACAAAACGGGGCGGTGGGGGGTTTAGACATTTTGCTGGAATTGCGACGTGCACTGAAACAGGAATTCGCTGATTCGAAACTTGCCAACAATTGGAGCGCCCTCTCCGAACTCAATCTAGCCGAGCCTTTCATTTTGTGAGATGATGCTGCGGCCGCCATGCGCCAGGTTGGCTAGGCAGGCATGTAGCACATGTGAAAGAGTGCATCCCCTGCGTGTCCACAATGTGACAAATTGGCGGAACAAGTTCGCCGCTGCAAGTCCACACACTCTTGGTGGCATCACAGCAGACCGTTCGTCGGCACCAGGAACGATGACAGCAAATGGGAAATCGAAACTCGGCTAGGCAACATTTACCGCCTGGAAGTGGCGCGCGGGGCTTGAGAGAAAGCAGAAACAACATGGTAATCCACGCCGACGAATGTTGAATGAGGGGCAGATCTAGCAGCCTGGGCGACATACTTGAACCAGGGGCACCCAAACATCTTGCATGTGTGTAGGCCGTCGTGGCCTGCAATATTCATGGGCCCTTCTTTCATCAAAGGTGTGTTTACCGCAAGGCTTGAGCAGCATAATCTGGAGCGACCCCTTCAACGAGAACGGCCCCTCTTCGGTTTTTGGGGGGCGTCTGTGTGTTGGATACATTATGAGACCGGGAGGCACGCCATATTTTGCAGCCCAAGAACACCCAACAGCAAAGGGCTCAAGCGACGCAGGGGGTTAAAGCAAGGCATGCGGGCGTTTGGTGCTGTTGAACAGGCTACCCGGTGTATCAAAGTGCCATGAATCAGTCAAGAGCCGGCAGACCTTCAAACTGGTCCACAGCCCTCGCAACCTTTCCCTGAATGGACGAGGGTGTTGCCCACATGAACACCACACGTGTGTTACCGCAAATGGTTCAATCCTTCCGCATCAAAAAGTTTTACCTTCACGCTTTTTGCTCTTCGTTTTTTTCAGAGCGTTGCTTAGTATTCTTATGTTCCTCCGCCAAGCGTTACGTGACTACGCAGAAGGGCTCAATATTTTTCGGTGGACGGAAACCTCATGCCGTGCCAATTGTGCCATGCCGTGAACTCAAGCGTGGATTACACTGAAGGACAATGGAGTTCACTGGAGTGGCTGGCCGGCTCACTCTCTCAGTCGAAGGTGGGCTGTCCCTTACTGTACTAATGCGGACAAAAAAACACTAGAATTGCACTTTGATACATGAGAGGAATCCATGCTTGTGCGTTGGTATTGTGCTCCCGGTGACAGAGTGTGAACTCGCTGCTGCTAAGCCCAATTACTGGGTCTACGAGCGGTGGCTTTGAAGGTATTATCCACCGCATATTGTGGGCAATGTTGGGACATTACCAATGTGGATTATGGAAGGCAGTCTTATCCTGACCTGTAAGCTTTTGGGACCAAACTCGGTCGAACGCCTCCCCAAGGCTCATGCGCTCCAGTTTCCTGTCGGTGGCTTTGCAACGGGATGCCTTTGAGGTCAGAATGAAGTCTCTGACGCCGTCCAGTATCTCATCAAACAGCCTGGTGAGCATTCGTAAGCTGTGTCAACCATCTGATACAGAAGTGAGCACAAAGAAGATGGCTCCCAAAAGCAGTTTTTGGTGTGCGAAATCTCCATCTGTGGCAAAGATGGCTGCAAGCCCAAACGGCTTGTGTGCAGTCCTGAGTTGCGATCGGTCAACTGCGGGATTGCAGCTTTCGACCAGGAAAGAACTTGCCACGTGTGACGCAGCTGCAGATCAATGCTTGGATGCACTCGCCCATACATGCACATCTGCAATCACTATTTTACTCAAACCATACCACCTCCCAAACCTTCATCATCCTTCGGGTGTCTAGACATTGTTTTTTTGGTTTGCTGTTTCCATATCATTTCTTTTTGTCGATGCACGTCAACAAATGTAAGAAGGTGATTCGTGCATGCAAGCACAACACATAAAACATACTTCTCTGCTCCTATTCTTGTCAGAAATGGCCGCCAAGCGCAAAAACCATACAACACGTCCTATGTTCCTTTGAGCATTGGAGTGTTTGTTTCTGCGATCTGGTTTGGTAAATGCATCAGAATGTACAAGTGGCCTGAAGGCAGGCAACATTGACT